CCTGCTGACCAATGGGCTCCTTTTTCCATGTGCATACTGGCCATCTGTGTGCCTCTCAAGAAGTGTCTATTTATATCTTTTGCCCATTTTTCAGTTGGGTTGGGTTGTCTTTTTGTTGAGTCGTTAAAAGGTTTCCTCCCTATTTTAGATACAGATCCTTTATCAGATATGTTATTTGCAAAAAATGCTTCCTGTTCTGTGGGATGTCTTTGCTTTCTTGATGGTGCCCTCTGATGCATAAACTTGATTTTGTTAAGACTTGATTTTGTTAAGTCCTGTTTATCTATTTTTTCCCTGGGTGCTTGTGCTGTTGGTGTTACGTCTAAGAAGCTGCTGCCCTAACACAGCAGGGTCATGGAGATTGACACCTGGGTGAATAACCCCACTCCTTAGTCGTGGGCTGTGCAGAGTGACCTCTGTCCAAAGAGAACAGTGTGGAAAGGAGGGGAACGAGTAACTTGGAGCCCCTGACAAAGCCGATTTCAGCTGGCAATCAAGGTCATAAGTCATGCGGAGTTGACTGCAGGGACCTGGATGCAGTACAATGAGGCGGGCCCTGTGCATCTGAGCCCTTCCTCCCCAAATCCCACACCCCTGTACGTCCAGGGGAGAAACGTCACACAAATCCAAACCCCAATGAAGGGGCATTCTACACACGTCAAAGCAGTCCTCCTCCAAACCACCAAGGGTGGTCTGAGAAACTGTCATGGACAAAGGCAAAGGAGGGCTTCCCTGGTGGCGCAGTGGTTGAGAGTCCGCCTGCCAATGCAGGAAACATGGGTTCGTGCCCCGGTCCGGGAAGATCCCACATGCCGCAGAGCAGCTGGGCCCGTGAGCCATGGCCGCTGAGCCTGCGCGTCCGGAGCCTGTGCTCCGCAACAGGAGAGGCCGTGATAGTGAGAGGCCCGCGCACCGCGATGAAGAGTGGCCCCCGCGTGCCACAACTAGAGAAAGCTCTCGCACAGAAACGAAGACCCAACACAGCAAACATAAATTAATTAATTAATAAACTCCTACTGCAAACACCTCCTTGAAAAAAAAAAAAAAGAATCCGCCTGCTGGGACTTCCCTGGTGGTGCTGCAGTGGTTAAGAATCCGCCTGCCAATGCAGGGGGCACGGGTTCGAGCCCTGGTCTGGGAAGATCCCACATGCCGTGGAGCAACTAAGCCCGTGCGCCAGAACTACTGAGCCTGTGCTCTAGAGCACGCGAGCCACTACTACTGAGCCCACGTGCCACAACTACTGAAGCCCGTGCGCCTAGAGCCCATGCTCCGCAACAAGAGAAGCCACTGCAATGAGAAGCCCGCGTACCGCAATGAAGAGCAGTCCACTCGCCACAACTAGAGAAAAGCCTGCGTGCAACGGAGACCCAACACAGCCAAAAATAAATAAATAAAATCAACATAAACGGCAAAAAATGGAGCATGAAATGAAATATAAACATAACAAATGAGCTTAAAATGAATAACATGGCCACAGTGAAGCGGAAAGAAACAACCCAAGGAGCCTCTGAATGAGCGTTTTCACTCTGTGGCCGCAGACCAACGACAAAAAGGACATGAACGAACATTAAATCTAGTGAGGAGATGTTCATTTATCGTGGGTGGGCTGGCAATTCTCAAACAACTATCCTTGGGTTCTAGGATCAAACAAGTACGATACTGAGAAAAAAATGGAAGCTTGTTTTCTCACAAAAGGCGTTACAAACATGGAAAGGGAGGAAAGAGGAATGAACTGCGTGGTTCTGGACTAAAACTGGGGCGGGGGAGAGCGTGAACTCACAATTCTACGCACACAGGCGTGCGGGTGAGTGCGTAAGCACGTGGACTCACATGCTGACACGGATGCGGAGGTTAGTATAAGACCTCACACAGAAGATGGGAGGATAAGAAGACTCATCATTCTGCAAACATTATGGAAATCATTACTTCAGGGACGACTCATTAATAGATGCCACAAATGACTTAAGAATCACAAATGGAAAAGCAGTGACCTCACAGCAGAAACACCCAGCAGCCACCACGTAACCAGACTGAAGTTAACGTCACCAACGTCACCTGCGAGACGACGCAAGTCCGCGGTATTCCCACCACAATGCAAAACCTGAATCCAACCACGAGAACACAGCAGACAAATCCAAACTGTAGTACAGTCGACGAAATAACTAGCCTTTCTCTTCACAGGCCCGGAGACCACGGCACCAGGCAGAGGGGTGGCTGTGTTTCGGGCCTTACGGAGGACAGCTGGGAAAACTCTAATGCGGCTGCCGATTAGACGAGAGTGCAGTACGGATGCTGGTTTTATGATCGGATCGTCAAAGAGAACGTCCTTGTTCTCAGGAAACACATGCTAAGACACGGAGTAAAGGTGTCAGGCCAGCAACCGTCCTGAAGGAGGCAGAGAAAGAGGGAAACTGTCCACTCCGTGGGGGGCTGGTCAAATGGGGCAGAGCATCAGCCGCGGGGTCTGGGGAAGGCACGCAGCAGCTGTAGCAAGTTATCTGTGAGCTGGTGAGAAAACAGAAAATGACAGTGTCGGAACAGGATATAAGACACGAAACAGGGACTTCACTGATGGCACAGTGGTTAAGAATCCGCCTGCCAACACAGGGGACATGGGTTCGAGCCCTGGTCCGGGAAGATCCCACATGCTGCAGAGCAACTAAGCCAGTGTGCCACAACTACTGAGCCTGTGCTCTAGAGCCTGCGAGCCACAACTACTGAGCCCACGTGCCACAACTACTGAAGTTCGCGTGCCTAGAGCCCGTGCTCTGAAACAAGAGAAGCCACTGCAATGAGAAACCTGTGCACCACAACGAAGAGTAGCCCCCGCTAGACACAACTAGAGAAAGCCTGCGCGCATCAACGAAGACCCAACACAGCCAAAAATAAATAAATAATTAAAAAAAAAAAAAAAAAAAAAAGACATGAAACAACAACACGAGCCAGGTTTTCTAAAGCTCAGAAATGAAGCAACAGAACTCAGACACAACTAGAAGAAAAAAACACTTGAGAAATAAAGATTAAATTAGAAAAACACCAAAATAGATACATGCCACATCATCTTAAAAGAAACAGATGGTGAAAGGGGGGAATTTTTATAAGTCAAAGAAAAATAGAGACAAAAGGATCTGAGAGAGTGACAGGTTCTGAACTCAGGTGGAAGAGACACGACATGATCCCTGGAGCAGAAACCGAAGCCAAGGCCGGGCCGTGAGCGCTGCCATGCGGGACAACATCCCCCCAAGTAAGAGGAGACTTGGAACTACAGGCTGGAAGAGGTCATCATACGTCGATCCGGAAAATCAACACTGAGACAAACTGCAGCAAAATTACTGGGCTTTCAAAAGAAAAAAAAGTCCTAAAACAACATCCAACTTTAAAAGTAAAAGACAATTTTAAAACAGCAAGGTTTATGATAGACGTGACTGTCAATCAGATAATCCATTCCTAGATACGTCCCTGGAGAAACGCTGACCTATTTACTCATGTACATGCATTCGGGGTCGAAAGCAGCTGACTTAGAAATTCCCATCGCAGGTAAAGACGGTGAAGCAAGGACCGTGCATCCACGAGGACACCTAAGCAGCAGAGCACAGCAGGCCAAGGGACCTGGCCCGAGACCTGTCCAGGACGGACGCAGGGCCAACCTATTTTCGTGGTGCTGCTACAGCCACTACTGCTCTTCCTACTGATACACAATTTGCCTTTTTCCTTCTTTCTCTCACAAATATACAGTGTAGTTTCCCAGAGGCTGATACTGGTCCCCACAAATGTCCGCGTTCTAATCCCTAGAACCCATGAATAGGTCAGCTTCGCAGCAAAAGGGACCTGCAGATGCAATAAAGTTGAGGACCTTGAGATGGGGCGATGATCCTGCATTATCTGGGGTGGCCCAAAATGGAACAGCAGGGTCCTTACAGAATCAGAGGAGACCGAAGCAGAGGTCGGAGACATGGGGCCACAAGCCAAACAACATGGCACCTCTAGAAGTTATAAAAGACCAGGAAGCGGATGCCCCTCTGCAGACTCCAGAAGGAAGAGCGCTGCTGGCCCATCCTGGGCTTCTGGGCACCATGAGCTAATACATTGGAGTTGCTTTAAGCTAAGTCTGGAAATTTCTTTTAGCAGCACTAGGAAATGAATACAGCCGTGATGTGCAGTAGCACGTCAGCCCAAAGCAGGAACACTTACGAGATCCAATTACCTTGTATTAAGCCAGATATTAAAGAGATTTGCAAAACTGAAATAATGCCACTCTTCTAATTTTTAAAATATAGTTATTTTTCCAAAAAAGTGTTATTTATGTTAACATGTCATGGATTGAATTGTGTCCTCCAGAAAGCTATGTTCAAGTCCTAAACCCTGACCCCTGTGAATGTGACCTTATTTGCAGATATGGTCAGTTAGGATGAGGTCCTAGAGGACTGGGTTGGGCCCTCATCCAGTGACAGGCGTCCCTATGAGAGAGGACACCATGTGAAGATGGGAGTGAGACTGGAGTAAGGTGTCTACAAGCCCAGGTCTGCCAGTAGCTGCCAGAGCTGGGATAGAGAGGCCTGGAGCACATGCCCGGGGAACTCACAGAAGGAGCCACCCCGGCTGACACCCAACACGTGGATGTCTAGCCCCAGAACTGAGAGGATAAACTTCTGTTGTTGAAGCCTCCCAGCTTGTGGTACTTTGTTAAGGCAGCCCTAGGAAACTGACACATAACAGTTTGTTACTTAGTTTTTTAGTTTTTACTTCTAATACACTGATTATCCATAGATGTAACTCACGTAAACAAAGCTCAGTACATTTCAAGAACGTAAAGTTTGGGCTTCCCTGGTGGCACAGTGGTTGGGGGTCCGCCTGCCGATGCAGGGGATGCGGGTTCGTGCCCCGGTACGGGCACATCCCGTGTGCCTCGGAGCGGCTGGGCCCGTGAGCCATGGCCGCTGAGCCTGCGTGTCCGGAGCCTGTGCTCCACAACAGGAGAGGCCACAGCAGGGAGAGGCCCGCGTACCACAAAAGAAAAAAAAAAAAAAAAAAGAACGTAAAGTTTAAGACATAAAGGGTCCTGAAGCCAACACGTTTGAGAACTTCTGTGCTAAACACACAAAGCAGTTTACAAACCCTCTCACCCCCAACATAGCCTGTGAGTGCGTCAAAGGAGGCCCGGAGACCCTCGCAGAGGGGGCCGAAGCAGGTGGCCTGGCGGGAGAAGGGGCCTCTGCACCCTCTGGAGTCTGTCCACGTGTGTGACTGTAAAGGGACCGGGAAGCTGAGGCTGTTCATGCCCCACCCCACACTCACGTGAAGGACACGACAGGACGTGGGTGACGTCCAAAGGGCCGGGCGTAAATGCTATGAACCTGCAGCAACTTGACAGTAGGAACGCTTGCTACAAAGTGGTCTGGAGAGCAAAAGGTGGATTCCTAACACTAACAAAGGCCACGCAGAATGTCTGGACAAACCAACTGCGTCCACCAAAGATTTCTACACACACTGCCATCACTGCTGCGAAAGGAAAATGCGGGATATGACTCTCTGAGAGCCGTTCCTGCGGACGATGCTCGCGGGTCCTTACAAAACGTCACTACGGCTGACACCCTCGGTTTTCACCTCTGTGCAGTAGAGGCAAGTTCACACCCCCGGGGAAACGGTGAGAAGGACTTGAGAGAGTGCTGACAGGTTGGGCGGTACCCAGCTCCCCACCTCCATCTGTGAAGCCAAGAAGACTCTTAGGGAGGCTGGCGCTGCCCCTGAGGCAGATTGAAAGCAGGGCCCTGGGCAGACTGGCCCCTCGTCTGGTCTGCAGTCCCTGCCCGCGAGCGCACCTGAGCTGGCGGAGTCCGCGCTGAACTCCGGGTGGAGCTCGGTCTGCCGCGCCACCTTGGCCTGCTCCTCCAGCACCTGGTCTATCACGTCCAGTCCCGAAGCCACATCGTGGGGAGTCAGGTCGAAGGACGCGGCCTCCTCACACATCTTCTCCTGTGAGCCCGAGCACACCCGTCACGGGGCTCGATGAGGCAGAGGTGACGGGGGGCAGAGGGAGGGGAAGCAAGAGGCCCCTTGTGTTCTCAAGGCCAAGTCTCAAACTGGCCCAGAGATGGATGTCTGGCCCAGACAGTGTTTGAAAACAATTTTACTTGAGCTGCCTACATTTTATAGTTAGAAAATTTCCCGTTAAACTCTAGCTTCTAGCTTCTCTTGAAAGCCGAATCTGGCCCATGGGCCCACCGTCCCCATGCCAACAACCGCCTGGAACCCAGTGGGGCTAAGGATGCCAGGCTCTTGTGGACCCCTCCAGGCTCCCCAGGTGGCCTTCCTCCAGTGCTCTGGTCAAGGTCCACCACTCCTGGAGACATGGTCCTTGGGCCCTGACAGAGGCCACAGGACAGGATGGGCAGGGCGAGCAGGCAGCAGGGAGGCAGCCACCAGGGACACAAGGGAAGAGAAGGAATGAGATGGCAGGAAGGGTCTGGGCATCTTGCGTGCAAATGGCAGTCACAGGTCGGCAGCCCACCTTGCCCAGTTTTGCTTGGTCCTGACGGTGGGACGCGGGGGTCTGGACAGAAAGGCCCAGCTGTTTTGCGCAAGAAAGCGGGCTGGAGGAAGGGGGTGTCGGGAAGGCCACCCAGACACTCACCACGTTGTGAGCTTCGTCAAAGACCACAACCGTCCCCTTCAGGTCGATGCCATATGCACGGCGGCTCTACAGCAAGAGAGGAGGACGCCAGGCTGGGGCTGATGCTCCCGGGGTCCAGCTGGAGAGAGGGATATGGACCCCGGCCGCGTGGGGTCCCCTCACTCCTACCAGGCCACACACTCCCAGAGCTCAGAACGAGTCACAGCCTCGGGCCGGTGAGAAGCTGGTCCCTCAGTGCCAGCCTGTGGCTCCAAGCGCAGGTCTGATCCCAGCACGTGCTCTGCCGGCCCCTCCCGAGCCTGGGACATGCCTTGCCATCAGGCATCGTCAGCTACGCAGGCCGAAGCCTTACCTTGGCATCCAACAGATAGTTGTAGGGCATGAAGATGATGTCGGCCTGCTGCTTCAGGTTCCGAGACAGGTAGTAGGGGCACACTCTGGAAGGAGGAGGAGCTGGGGCACAGTGCCGACTGGGAGGGTTCCCCGGGGCGCGAGAGAGCCGCGGCCTGGGGCAGCGGGAAGGCTTGCCGGCCACCCCTCACACCATCAGTTTTCAACCGTGTGAGTAGGTCACCCATTTAAAAATCTACAAAAACAAAAAGACCAAGCCTGATCCCGGGATGAGATGGTGAGAAGCAGGGCAGTCGGGCATGTGTCACCACGACTGAAGCCCTGAAGCTACGCGGTCGCAGCCAGCGCCGGAGAGGAGGGGCAGTGCCAGGGGGAGGATGAGCTGGACGCCCCAGGAACCAAGGCCCAGCGGGCAGGGGGCTGGGGGCTGGGAAGGAGCGTCTCACTTCTTCCGATGCTTCAGGAGAGAAATGTGCCTGCCTGTGCGCGTGGAGGGAGCCCAGCCCTGGTGGGTTACCTGTGCCTTGTCCCACTGCTGACCAGGTCCTCAATGTCCAGGACGCGGCTGGCCAGCTCCGGCTCCAGGCTCTTCTCTGGGAACACGGGCGGGCGTAAACACAGGCTCTCTGGTCCAGAGTACCCGGACCGCAGGAGGCACCCGGGATGGAATGGCTCCTGGCAACAGGCAGCCCCTGGGGAGGGCGCCAAGCCTAAAGCGAGTCCCAAGGGAGCCCTGCTCTGTGCCTTGGGCGGCTACAGGCCTGAGGCTGAACACCAAGAGGAGACCCCGGGGTGGGGTGGGGTGGGGGCCGGCCCTGAGCCTGTCACCACCAGAAGCTCTCCAGGCCGGGCGGCTCCCATGAGCCCCGGGGCACCTGCCCTGCAATCAGGCTTCAATCTGGCAGCAAGTCCCTTCCTCTCGCTTCACCGCCCCCCCAAAGAACAAGCCCAGAGTCTCCCTCTTAAGGAAGCCAGGCTCCACACGGCCAGCAGCAGGAACACTGAGCTGTCACCGTGCTGCCTGGGCAGGGGCGCAGAGCTGGGGCTGGGCGGGCGGGAGGCGCAGAGCCCACCTGAGGCCCTGCAGCCCTGGGATCCCTTCCTCAGGATGCAGCCCAGACAGGCCCCACTCCCTGCCGGCTGTGTGTCCCTGGGCAGGATGAGCCTCAAGAAGGGACACAGGCCCCCAGGTGGGCCCGTAGAAGTTGGCCAGGGAAGCACTATGACCCAGCGACACCCAGGCCTGGCCCAGCAAGTGGGAGCAAAGGTCTCCTCTAATAAGCACCCGGAGTCTCAGGGCAGCCCCACGTGGACACAGGTCCCCGGCTCCCAGTTCCACTGGGGCAGGTACCAGGCCCAGCCCTTAACTGCACAGACCAGAACACACAGGCCCTCAGCAGTGACCGCCCCCAGGGTGTCCCCCTGCCCCCCACCGCAGACAGCAGGCAGGGGAAGGAAGAGCCATCCACTCAGCAGCACCATAGCAACAGACCAGCCAATTGGCACACTCTGCAGCAGGCCAGCCCCAGAGCTCAGTCACCTACCTGAAGCGAGTGGGGCTGGGGAGGGGGGGCGAGGAAG